CTGTCTTATTAAAGAGCAAATAAATAGCTAGTGCTTGTTCCTTTCCCTGTGCAGCTTTCATCTTTTTGAAAATGGTTTGAAAATGGTTATCTCTCATTGCTTCACTCCCTCTCAATTCTTTTCCATGAACCATGATTCCCAGAGCCCTTTCTATTCTCTCAGTCCATCATCCCTATTCTGGTTCTATTTCCCTCCCATTGTAGTCTTGACCCTAGCGCTAAAGAGATCAATAAGAGATTGTCTTCTACTTTCTTTTCTCCTGTTGCTAAATTAATAAATTCTGATGGAGGAAGTCATGAAACTATATAGACTGGGTCCACTAAAAATTCGTATTCTCTAACCTCCACTAGGCCCTCGCCACTGAACTGTAATCCGTTTGTTCGTTCCTATCACACTTTTTACAGCAGCTGTTCCAAACCCTCCCTTCCCTTTCCAAGTCCTGAACTTTACTCTAACCTTTCTATTTCTCAGCAGATAACTTTGCCTCCTCTTTTACTGAGAAGACTGTGGTCATCTTCTGTGAGCTCTCTCATGTCCCTTCCTTCACATCCCCAAATTTTTCATCTTGATCTCTCCTCTCCCTCTTTGCCAAAGACTTGGAGAATGAAATGACTGTTTCTTTCTCTAACAGTTGTGCCTTTGATCTCATCCCCTTGCATCCCTTTCTGGAGATTGTCCCATGGATCATGCATTCTTTATCACTTATCTTTAACCTCTGTCTACTGACCAACTAACTCTATTGCCTACTAACCCGATCAATTCCCCCCATCATTTAAAAACAATTCATTTTACTATGCCATCCTCTCAAGCTATTATATTTTATCATCCCTCCCACTGCTAAAATCCTAGTAGTTGGGGGCAGATAGGTAGTGCAGTGGATAGAGCACCTGCCCTGGAGTTAGGAGAACCTGAGTTCAAATCTGGATTCAGACACTAGCTATGTGACCCTGGGCAAGTCACTTAACTCTGATTACCTAAAAAAAAAAATCCTGGTAGTTTATACTTCCTGCTTCCAAGTCCTTACCACCCATTGACTTATCAACCCCTTGCTACTGACCCCATAATTCTACTTAAACTACTTTTTCAAAAGCCACCTATTAATTGCTAAATCGGATGAACTTTTCTTAGTCTCTCATTCTCCCCTGTTGAACAACCCCTCCTCCTGGGTACTCTCCTCTTTTCCCCAATGCCATTGTTCTTTCCTACCTATCTTCTGACCTTTTAGACTGCTCCTTATTTTTTTTTTTTAGGCAATTGGAGTTAAGTGAGTTATCCAGGGTCACATAGCTAGTAAGTGTCAAGTGTTTGGTCTGAGGCCGGATTTGAACTCAGGTCCTCCTGACTTCAGGGCTGGTGCTCTATCCACTGCGCCACCTAGCTGTCCCCAGACTGCTCCTTATTGATAGCATTTGTTGATTCTTTATGTTTTAAAGACCATGACTGTGTAATTTTTCATCTTTGTAACCACACTGCCAAGCATAGTGCCTTGTACCTAGGAGGTGCTTTATAAATCGTTATTGAATCCAGTGAAATTCAATCACAGGTATAGTCTTCTTTTATTAAGATTAAACATCCCCAGTTCCTTTTACTGTTCCTTGTGACATGATTTCTGGATCTCTCACCATCTTGGTTGAATTCTGAATACTGTAGTTTGTCAAATTCTAATTCAACAAACATGTACTGAACACCTAGTATGTACTGCACTGTGATAGGTGTTTGGAAAATAAAGACAAAAATTAAATGATGCCTGTCCTCAAGGAGCTTATAGTCTGGGGAGGGTGTGGAGAATGAGAGAATATCCAAATGTGCGCAGGTATATAATTTAAAGAGAAGACTAATAACTAAGGGGATCAAGAAAGACTTTCTATAGAGTGTGGCACATGAGCTAAGTCTTAAAGGAAGCTAGTGATTCTATAGGTGAGGAACTCATGATTTCCAAACACAAGGGACCACCTATACCAAAGCACAGAGGCAGATCAGGGAATACTGAATTTGGGCAACATCAAGAAGAACATTTGGCTAATGTTAAAAGCATATGAAGGCAAATAATGTGAAATAAACAGGGAACGGTAGACTGGACTCAGACTATGAAGAACTTTAAATGCCAAGCTGAAAATTTTGCCTTTTAGAAAATAGGGACACACTAGAAGTTCTTAAGCAGAAAAATGACATGATCAGATAAGCTTTAAGAAAATCATTTTGAGGGGCAGCTAGGTAGGTGGTGCACTTGGAGTCAGGAGGATCTGAGTTCAAGTGTGACCTCAGACATGTAACAGACACGAGCTGTGTTACTCTGTGTGACTCTGGGCAAGTCACTTAAGCCCAATTACCTCACCAATGTGAATGATAGAGTTGAGGGGGTGTAGAGTAGAACTCAAGAGTCCAAGTGAGGATTGTTGCAACAGCCCAGGCCATGGGTGACGAAGGCTTGAACAAGGGTGGAGGCAGTGTTAGTGGAAAGAAGGGGAGAGAGAAGAAAAATTGTGGAGGTTTATCACTTCCCCCTTCCTGATTAGTGTCATAATATGTCATAGAAGAGATCATCTACAACAGTGGAGCCCATCCTTTTTGAGAATGAAAACCCTTTTCTAATGTGCCCTCTTCCCTCCAATGTCATAAATAGGAGCTATCCTATTAGTGCCTATCAATTAGGAAAAAGTACAATGACAAAAATTATTATGAATCAGTAATACTTTAAAACAAAATGTAAATTATTAATGATAACCTCTTAATACATTTTAAAATGAGTACAACATATATATGAGGCATATTATTTGTTCAATTGAAAGAAGGTTATAGTGTTGTTCAGTCTTTTTTAGTCCTGTCTGATTCTTTGTGACCCTATGTGGGGTTTTCTTGCCAAAGACTCTAGAGTGGTTTGACATTTCCTTCTCCAGCTCATTATAAGGAAACTGAGGCAAACAGGTTTAAATGACTTGCTCAAGGTCACATAGCTAGTAAATGTCTGAGACCAGATTTCTGAGTCACAAAGATGAGTCTTCCTGACTCTAGGCTCAGTAATCTATCCACTGTGCCACCTTGATTTTTTTTTTTATTAATTCACACATCCTTTAATATAAATTCTCAATCCTCTGGGCTCCTTGACCCACAGAAACCAATGATCTTATCTAGCTCCCTCAGTTTGTAGAAGAGGAAGCAGATGCTACAAAGTTGAATGATATGCCATTATATTTCCATTATTGCATCTTACGAATAATCAGTCACTGGGGCATCTAGGTGGCGCAGTGGATAGAGCACTGGCCCTGGAGTGAAGAGGACCTGAGTTCAAATGTGGCCTCAGACACTTAACACTTACTAGCTGTGTGACCTTGGGCAAGTCACTTAACCCCATTACCTAGACCCCCCCCCAAAAAAAAATGACACAAGAATAATCAGTTATATCCCATAGAATTGGCTTGTGTTCAACTCAAAATTCTAGGCAGCTCTTTTTGTCAAGTCAGATTTGTTCCTTCCTCTAGTTGTGTAATTTTTATACTAAGATGTTAGATTTTAGTTCTCCCTGTAAAACAGTTCAGCAAGAAGTCAATAAATATTGAGTAGCTATCAGATTGTGGGGGATTTTTGCATCTTAGTTACTTTATTTGACCGCATTACCAATTTCCTCTAGGTTTAGCTGCCTAACTACACGGGAGGCCAATAATTTACAAGAATCATGGAATTTTAGAGTTGAGAGAATTTACTTAGAGATCATTGATGAGTCAACTAAGCAAGGTTCAGAAGAAAGAGGTGACTTGCTTAAGGTGACACAAGGTTGTTAGTAGCAGATCCAGGACTAGAAGCATTGTACTTAGATATGCTAAAGGTCCAGAAGAACTCTTTATTTATCCTAGCTGCCATGATTCCTGGGAAATATTCCTACTCACCCCCAATTCCTCCTTTCCTAATCTTACCTCTTCTCTCAGATTGTCTATTGGCATTCTTTTTTTTTTTTTTTGCTGAAATTAGTGTCTGCTGTTACAACAGGGTTGAATAGGGGCATGGATAATAGTGTACAGTGCCACCAGGGTACCGTGTTTCTGAAGCCAAAGAAGAATGATTTGAACCTCAAAAAACAAGTTGGGACTATTTAATTTGACTATAACTGTAGCAGAAAAATAGGTTCTAAGAATAATTATGGAAGTACTATATCAATTTTATTTGGTGTGAATTTGGAGTTTCCAGAGGCTTTTATGACCAACTTCAGGATAGTTACTTATATTATCCAGAATGAATATCAGTGTAGACATCAACATACTCTGACCAAGTTATATAATTGAACTTATTTCATAAGGTTGCCTCAGTTCTGTGGAATGCCCAAGTTGTGCTGTAGACAGCTTGGTTATAGCCAGAACTCTGTAAGGTAGCCTGCATTTGATAGATTTTGGATTTAAAAAAAAAAAAAGGTAGTTCATCAGTCAAAGTCCCTATCTAGTGCCGCTGATAAAAGAATTAGAATTTTTTTCTGCTTCAAGTTTCAAATCATCCCAGATTTCAATTTATGAATGTATTTATAAGGCAAAAGTGGTAAGAAGACTAGATTTAGAATCAGAGGACCTTAGAGGGTATCTAGTAAGCCTTTTATAGATAAGGAAACTGAGACCTAAAAAGGTTAAGTGACTCACATAAGTAGTATGAAAGGCAGGATCTGAATCCAAGTCCTCTGATTCTAGAGTCAACACTGTTTCCCCTGTATCATGTTGCCTCCTGATGGGGCAAGTCATTCAGTCTTTCCTCATCTAAATCATAAAGTAAAAACACCATGCTAGGTGTTCTTGAAGGTTCCTTCTAGTTCATATAAATTCCTATAAATGTATCCTTGATCCACACACTAACGAGTTACATGGTATGGTAGAAAGAGAATTTTGTTGTTCAGTTGTTTTAATTGTGTCCGACTCTTCATAATCCCATTTGGGGTTTTCTTGGCAAAGATACCGAATGGTTTACCTTTTTCTCTTTCTCCCATTCATTTTTATGCATGAGGAAACTGAGATAAACAGGGTGAAGTGACTTGCCCAAGATGAGTCTTCCTGACTCCAGGTCTGGTACTCTCTCCACTGCACCATCTAGGAGTTCCAAGAAAAAGTAAGCTGAAAAATAACAAATACAAAGGTAAATTAAAATGATTACAATTCATCTCACTCCCAATCAGCTTGGCAAAGATGAAAATGGTAGATGCTGCAGGGGCTTTGGGAAGATAGGTGTACTAATGCACTGTTGGTGGAGCTACGAATTGTTCCAATCATTTCAGAAAATATGGGGGGATTATATGAAAAGAGTAACTAAGTTGTACTTTTATCCAAACCTATTAATAGGTTTGTATACCATATGATGTTAAAGACAGAAGGAAAGGTCACATATGTACAGAAACATTTATAGAAGATCTTTTTGTAGTAGCAAAGAACTAGAAATAAAGTAATTATTCTGGGATTGGGGAATGAATGAACAAATTGTTTCATATGAATGTAAGGGAATATTATTATGCAATAAGAAATTACAAATATGAAGAATTCAGAGCAATTTGGGAAAAACTTGTATGAACTGACATAGAATAAAGTAATTAGCAGAAGGAAAACAAATATATCTGAGGACCACAATGATGTTAAAGAAAATGACATTGAAAGTCCTCAGAATGGACTATGTAGTGGCCAACCATGGATTAGACTTCAGAGTACTATGCACTTCAGACTTCAGAAGCCTGAACTGATGTTTATTTCTTGCTTCTTATAATGGAGATAGTGGACTAAAGGTGAAGAATGAGGCATGCATTTTTAAACATAATCAATGTGTTCATTTGTTTAGTAACTATACTTACTTGCTACAAGGGGTTTTTTCATTAGGGCTAGGGAAGAGTCAATGGGAAGTAGGGTAGTCATCTATTAAAAAAGACAAGTGGGGGCAGCTAGATGGCGCAGTGGATAGAGCACCGGTCCTGAAGTCAGGAGAACCTGAGTTCAAATCCAGCCTCAGACCAAATACTTGACACTTACTAGCTGTGGGACCCTGGATAAGTCACTTAACCCCAATTGCCTTAAAAAAAAAAGACAAGTGCATTGATGAAACATTTTTTTTTTGGAGCGTTGGGTTTAGAATCTCAAGATCTATGTTTTCATGCAGAATTTGTCACTTACTAGGTTAATTGAGCAAATAATTTCATTTTTCTAAGCCTCGGATTGCTACTCTATAAAATAAAGGTAACAGTTGCACTACTATCTTATGGGGTTATTGTAAAGAAAGTGTTTTGTAAGATTAAGGTCTATTTTTGTTGTTGTTCAATCATTTCAGTCATGTCTGACTCTTCATGACCCCATTTGGGGTTTTCTTGGCAAAGATACTGGAGAGGTTTGCCATTTCCTTTTCCAGATCATTTCACAGATGAGAAAACTGAGGCAAACTGGGTTAAATGACTTGTCCAGGGTCACATAGCCAGTAAGTGCCCACGGCTGGTTTTGAACAAAACACGATGTACATTTTATCTATTCATACATGAAAAAAAAAACACTAAACCTGTTCTTTGGCCAAAGACTGCATATTTAACCCTGACCCGCCATCACATAAAGGCATGTCATTAATCAAGGGGGAGACCCAAGAGAGGCTGTGATTTTTTTTCCATAAAAAATACATGAACATTTATGACCATTGATTTTGAGTAGTAAGAGAAATTAAACACTATCCAATCCAATTGCCTCATTTTGCCAATGAGGAAACTGAGGGATTAAAAGATTTGTCCAATGTCAAACAGGTTTTAAGTGACAGGAAGGATTTGAATTGAGGTCCTCTGACTCCAAAGTCAGAGATCTTTCAACTATACCACACTGGAAGAACAACTAAGATACACTTCCCATTAATGTTGGGTGAGCAGCACAGTAAAATGAAGAGAAAAGGAACCAACAAATTAGGGAGACAAATATGCTTCACCTTACTATAACAGCAGTAATGACAGTACTGGAATGCCACACACAATTCCTATAGTATTTGTGTGGGAAGATCATCAAACATTTTGTGAACTTTAATTAAACCCCAGAAAAATACCATAGGGCAGGTCAGTATATTCATTTATTAGGCCAGAGCCTGAAGACCAAGGGAGATTAAGTCATGAGTCTGTGGTGACCTTATCATCGCCATCTGAAGCTGGTGATCCAGTTTGTCAAGTCTTGTGGTGACTAGTTGGATCAGAGGTCGGCCAGGTCTCACACCCTGACAAGCAGCTGAGTATTGTTTGGTTGTTTCGGTTGTAATGATGTCAGTCAGCATCACCCAGGGTTTAGTCACGGCTAGCTCTGCTTTTGTTGGTCTTTTTCTTTGAAACATTGGAAACAAAAGAACATCTCTAAGGCATAGAGATCATTGTGTCCCTGCCAAAGAATTTTTTTAATCTGGGCAAAGCTCATCAGGCATCACGTGGGAATGTGAGTAACACTTCTCGAAAGAGAAAAATTGACCCCTTAACACATTTCTTATTTCATCTGTTCTTTGCGTCTCCTTTACTTGAATGCAAATCAGCAATTTATATTGAGCTGGGAATTGTTATATTTTTTCAGTTTACTAATTTTCAAAAATACTTTTAACCATTTGCTTAAAAAAAAACATGATACCTTTTTTGGTACAGCAAGCAAATGTAAATGTGGTAATCCTCTTGAGAAAATATGAAAACAAGCAAAACAAATCATCAGATCTTAGGTAGCTTGACTTTACAAGAGCATGGGAGCTGCCACAATCTACAATGCCTGTCCTATACCACAGCAGTCTCTAACACTAAGTAGGGTATGTCTCTAAGCTAAAAGCAAGCTGGCCTTCTGTAGACTAAATCTCAAATATTAGTGATTAGCCCAGACATCAGTGATTTCTCTTAATAAACTATTATGTAGCTATCAACTAAAATGTATCTAAACCCTTTCTCATCCTATGTATATTTAGTTAATGTCACCTCATAGGAGGAGTCTTATAAATTTATTATCTCTAGGGCAAAGTTGTCTTTTTATTTGTATATAAAAGTAATTTTGTAAATTCCAAAGTGCTATAAAAATAGAAGGCGTAATTGCCATATTTTCCTTTAGTAGGCTTCAAATGGTCCCACCAGTTCTGGAATTCCAGGGTTTGTCGAATAGCTCCATGTTGTTTTATCTATGCTTTTCATGATATTAGGAACTTTAATTTTATCTCCCCTCCCTTAATTCTCATCTTCTACCTCTTGTTTTTTTTATTCAGCCCTCATACAGAATTATTTCTCTCCTTCTTCCCCTTAAAGTATTTGAATTGCCTTCCCTTGGATCTTTTGCATTTCTGTTAAGCCTTTCTTGAGACATGAAAATAAGAGGTTAACACATTAGTCCAAGATGTGGTAATGTGAGTGTACTGTGGCAGACTGATATTTTCTGTTTTAATTGGAATGCTTTGCTTATGATGCTGAGACTATGTACTGTGCTAAGCATTAAAAGAAGGAAATATATAAAAATATACAAAACACAGCCTCTACTCTTAGGAAACTAATAGAGGCATCTAGCGGGGAAAATGAAACATATACAGAAAGCTGTAATACAGAACAAATTGTGCAGAGTGCAATAGAGAGGTACAAATAAAAAGCTACAACATTTTAGAGGAGACCACTCCCATCTAGGGGGCATCAGGGAAAGCACCAAAGAAGAAATGGAGTCTGAGTTGGGCCTTGAAGAGTGGGTAGAATTTCCACCTGCAAGCTGAGAGGGAGGGCATTTCTGACCTAGATTATAGTCTGAGCAAAGACGCAGAGGTGGAAGAGTGAGTACGCCAGTCTAGCTAACACATGGGGCAGGTGAAGTGAGTCAGTGTAAGAGGAATTACAAGATGAAAGATATAAGATGAAAATGGAAATGCATTGTAGTCAGCAGATTGTTGAGGGCCATGAATGACAGGCTAAGGAATGTAGACTTTACTGAGGAAGCACACTGAGCTAATGTATTTAGGATATAGTGAATACTGACTTCCTAGGTCCTTTTTAAAGGGGTGTGTGTGTGTGTGTGTGTGTGTGTGTGTGTGTGTCAATTGGGTTAAGTGACTTACCCAGAGTCACACAGCTAGCGAGTGCTATGTGTCTGAGGTCAGATCTGAACTCAGGTCCTCTTGATTCCAAGGCTGGTGCTCTACCCACTGCGCCACCTAGCTGCCCCCTTTTTAAAGATTTTAAATGTTAGTGGAGAATTTATCATCTTAGAAGTATTATTGTTGTGCAGTCACTTCAGTCATATCCAATTCTTTGTGATCCCATTTGTAGTTTTCTTGGCAAAGATACTGGCGTGTTTTGACATTTCCTTCTCCAGCTTATTATACAGATGAAGAAACTGAGGCAAACAGGGTTAAGTGACTTGCCCAGGGTCACATAGCTAGTAGGTGTCTGAGGTCAGATTTGAACTCAGGAAGATGGTCTTCCTGATTCCAGGCCTGGTAGTCTCTTCACAGCACCGCCTAACTGCCCGTCTTAAGTATAGAAGTACAGTTTACATATTTTCTTCAAAATGCATTATTACACTTGCTCACACTAAAGCTTTTCTGCCTCATCCCCCTCACCCATAGAATTTGATTCCTTTAAAGAAACATTTATTAAGTGGTCACTGTATGTAAGGTACTATACTAGGTGATGACAATATGGAGATGAAAGAAGACATAGTTGATATGCTGTAGGAATTCAGGATATTAGAGAGAAGATAAGACAAAAAGATAACTATTTAACCACAATATGGTGCTAATGCTGCTCACTGAGTGCTCATTAGTTCACCTGAGAGCTTCTAGTATCCTCCTAAAGCAGAAGGCCTAAGTACTTGCTGAACTCTCTATAGTTACAAGAATTGGAGACCTTCTGTCCTTCAGCTCAGCCTCTCATTTTGGAGCAGTGCTACTTATTGGCTATCGGGTGGGTCTGCCAATTAGACAGAACTTAGCTCTAAACCCCAAGCCATTGGCTAACCCACATTATTTTGAACATACTATATTTCAATGCGAACTAGTTATCTGACCATGGCATAATAGAGAAGTAGATACATGGGCTGGAATTTTATATACAAATGTTTTTACTCAGCACAGACTAATACAAATAACAAATAATATTAATGAAGAG